CATTTTTGAACATCCAAGACTTTCCCCACCCCCTCCTGGATACCGCTTATTCTTTTTTCTTATTTACTCTCTTGTTTTGGTGCAGCCAATCTTCAGGTAGTTTCCTGAAGTACATTTCCTATTTCCTTCATACATGGTGGTTGGATTGATTAGGTATAGAATTTTAGACTGGAACTTTTCCTTTAGAATTTTAAAGTCTTTGCCTCACTGATTTCATGTTGCTATTGAGAAGTATGATAGCATTTTGATTAAATTTTTTTTAGTATTAAGTTTCTCCCCCCTTCCCCGCCCTCCCCTCCCCGCCCGGGACTGTTAGGAAATTTCACAACAACGTATCTTGGTTTAGGTCATTTTTCAAGTGAGCTTTTCAATAAAAAGAAACACATTATTTTTGACACATTTCCTTCTATTAGTTCTTTGTATTTTTCTCCTGACCATTTTATCTGTTCCTCTTTCTGGTCCTCTTATTATTGAAGCATTGAACTTTGTGAACTGAATCTCTAATTTTTTTTAAAACATAACTTCTTTCCAGTTCCTATTCCTTTGATTTTTTTGTTCTATATAATTAAAAAAATATTTTTATTGATTTCAGAGAGGAAGGGAGAAGGAGAGAAATATCAATGATGAGAGAGAATCATCAATCAGCTGCCTCCTGCATACCCCTACTGGGGATCAATGGCATACCTGGGTATGTGCCCTGACCGGAAATCAAATCATGACCTCCTGGTTCATAGGTCGACACTCAATCACTGAGCTACACCAGTCGGGCTTTTGTTCTATATTTTTCTCAGGTAATGTTCTACATTACATTTTTTAGATTTCTACTTTTATTTTGTTATGTACTAGTACTAGTATGTACCGATGTATATAATATCCTCACCCAATGATATTTTTTCCATTGATTTTTTTAGAGAGAAGAGAGTGTAGAGATACAGAGATAAAGATGTGAGAGAGACACATCAATTGGTTGCCTCCGGCTCATCCCTACCAGGGCCAGGGATTGAACCTGCAACCAAGATACGTGCCCTTGACCGGGAATTGAACCCACAATCCTTCAGTTTGCCGGCCGATACTCTATCCACTGATCCCAAATGAACTAGGTAGTTAATATATTTTTAATTTCCAAGAAGTCCTCTGATGGTTCCTTTTTTAAAATTCTATCCTTGCTTCATCTATGTGTTATCTTTTGTTGACCTCTCCCCGAATCAGATCCTTTGTCACATTTGTTGCTTTGGTTTCCATCTTCTATTGTGGAAGTTTTCCATGTTTGATATTCCTTGGCTGTCAGTTTGTATTAAAGAGCAAATCACTAAAAGTTGATTGGAAGTTCTGAATGAAGACTGGAGGGCTTTACTAGTGACTGGGTGAGCAGGTGACCAGCTGGTTTTTGTTTATTTGAATTCAGTTATGGTACCAGTAATTCTTTCTCTGGGAACAGTTGATTGCGCAAAGGATCTTTTAAAACTTTTGATTGAGGAGATGATTCCAGCTTCTGAAGTTTTGGAATTAAGAGCAAATAGCAAGGTGGGGGGTGGTGGGGAGAAGTTTACCATCATTTGGGAAGCAGATTCTCACTTAGCTCCTGTTTTCGGTGTCCATGTCACCCTTGTCCTCCTCTGTGCCTCATATCCCTATATTTAGAGCGTCTCTGATTCAGTTTCCTCATAGAATAAACCTCCAACCTCTTGCAGGAGTAGGGAGAAATAGTTACCTATTTATACAGATAGGGGTGGGAATATGGGTCCCTAAATATTGTTAATTAAATATAATTTCAGCCCTTCTCTATACCCTTCCTCTGAGGTTTCTGGTAGCTGAATTCCTAAAATTTTCTGGGATTCTGTGAGAGCAAAGAGACTTACTTTCTAATAACCTCTTGCCATTCCCTCTCCTCATGCATTTAAGTTCTTCTCTGTTCAATAATTTATCATTTTCCTTTAATCTGATTTCTGTCTAAATTGTGGCTCAAGTTACAGAATGGTGATAGTAATTTCATTAATGATGGAGTACAATTTTTCTGTTTCTTGGGGGTGTGATTTTTTTGGGGGAAAAGAGGGTTAAAATACCCCTATCTGCCTCTTCACCTGGAAGTGCTCTATTTGGCCTTAATGATTTTTCTAAATTGTGTTTGCATAATATATAATTTCTCAAGTTCATTATCCTTTAAAAAAAGATTATATAAATTGCTCACCAAAAGTGTTACTGAATTACATTCTATAATTGCATTAGCATCTTCTAATTGTACATTAACATACATAACTAGAAATAAGCTTGTAATTAAGCACTCAGACCTGATAAATCATAATTATATTGAAATTTATAAGTTAAATAGAAAAAAATAGATAACTTAAAAATAAACTCTTCTGAGATTCTGATATACATTGACAGATAAAACATATTTATCCCACTCTTAAAAATCAATACCTTATTTCCTGGCTGAGATGACTGTATTTTATTGCTGGAATTATTCAACAACAGCATTTTGTAGGGCAGGATGCTTAGCATGGACAGTTTTTGTTTTTTAATGTAAAGTGTTTTTCCACAGTAATGGCCTTTTCTGTAATACTAGTGGCTCGGTGCACAGATTCGTGCACATTGAAAGGAAATCAATTAGAAGAAATACTTTGATATCACTATTCGCACTTTCTCTGTCATAGAAGTGTCCGAGATGAAAGAAACATTGCAGCCTTGGGTCCCCCAGCACACCCTTAGGTCCCCAGGGCTGGCACCGGGGTCCCTTGGTCCCTCGGCCCAGGGCAGGGGGCGTGGCCAGAGGTCCCCTGTCAAGCCCTGTCGAGCGGGGTTGTGGCTAGAGGTCCCTTGGCCTGGGGCGAGGGGCATGGCCTGAGGTCCCCTGTCAAGCCCCACCAGATGTGGGGCACAGCCTGAGGTACCCTGTCAAACCCCACCGGGGGAGAGGAGGTGCAGCCTCAGGTACCCCGTCAAGCCCCACTGGGCGGGGAATGCAGCCTCAGGTCCCCTGGTGCACCCTCATGTCCCCTGGCCTGGTGCCGGGGCAGGGGATGAGGCCTCAGATCCCCCGCCTGGCACTGGGTGTGGGGCACGGCCTGAGGTTTCCCAGCCTGGCGCTGGGGCGGGGGGCGCAGCCTCAGGTCTCCCGTCAATCCCTGCCGGGCAGGGTGCACAGCCTCATGTCCCCCGCCCTGGCACCACGCAGCCTAAGGTCCCTGCTGATCGTGCGTTACGGCTTGTTATGGGAACCCTGCCTCCGGTGCGGGCACAGTCATCTTGTGACGGTGTGACAGTCAATTTGCATATTACCTTTTTATTATATAGGATTATTATGAAATGTAGAGCAAATATCACTTCCAAAAAGACTTACACATTTTTAGTTGGTGTTAGTAAATTATGACCTTGAAATATGTAAGAATATGCCACAATAATTTAGCACCTATAAGCCAAAGAAGGATAAAGAGACATATGGCCAATAGGCTGGGCATTTTGTAAATTGAGAGGGGAATAAATGGGCAGCAATGTCTCGCTACCTGATACATTCTGCCTGGTGTGCTGGTAACATGGGCACTGTCTCAATAACTCATTTCATGGAAGAAGCTTTAATCTTTTCCTGTTTATGTGCACTTTAAGGTGCACATAAATATATATTTAATTTTAATTTGCTGGATCAGATGTCAGCATTTTCCTGAATTTCCTTATGAACAGTTACCTTATTAATAGTTTTCGTAAAGTTTACTTCTCTTTTTATAGGCTTGGCTTGAGAGAACCAATCTAGATTGTATCTACAAAGGAAACAAATTACATACTCTTTAGGCTGTAAAAAATAACAACCAACTCCACAAATTTCAGTAGCTTGTATTTAAGAAATGACCTTTCACTGGAAAAACATCAGAAGCACCACCAAAGGTCTGAGCATCTGAACCTGGACAAGAGTTCCATTAGATGAGCCCACTGAGTCTGTCATGTGAACACATACAGCTGAGAATGCACACGATCACAACCTTCCTGGAAAGTGATTTGGCAAATGTATTAAGAGTCTTAAGCATCTTGACGCATAAGATATTCATCATAGTAATAATTACATTATAACAACATGAACAAAAAAGAAACATGATTAATTAGTAGGGAAAAGATTTAATTAAAGCAGAATCAGAGTATAATTTCAATGTTAGCATATGTGTTGATATGCATTTGTATGGCTGCATAAATATCTAAAGAGCAAAGTGTTTTTTTTTAGCAGGTATTAATCTCTCAGTAACAGAAGTACTGATGATTCATCTTAATAGTATTATGTATTTTTCTGTATGGAGCATAGAGTCCTATAAAAATCAGGAAAAATTTATTGAAAACAAATGCAAGGAATAGCAGCAACACCAATATCTTAATGAAATTCAAATTCCACCAGAGCACACAAACTTGGGTTTAAAGAGCTGGTAGAATCACACATCTTAGGTCTTTTTAGTAATATTGAATAATAATAAGTTGGTCTTAAGGTTTTAGAAACATGATTAACATATTTTCTGTTTCTTGGATGCTAAAAATACAGGTAGATATCAAATCCTAGCTAAAGTAAATATTACTTAAAGATAACTCTAGTATTTATAGGTTACTAATAAGCTATATTTTTCAATTATCTTTGTTTTTCTTTTTTTTATTATCTCCTAAAAATGTAGCATAAATCAAGGGAAGTCATCTTCATTAGAATTCATTCATTGCATTCAATTAATAGCTATTTTTAAGTACTTGCTATGTGTCAAACATTGTTTTGAGGCGCTGGGGATTCTGCAGTGAAGAAAATAAAGTTCTTATCTGGTTGAAGAACAAATGTTATCTCTATCATATAATGATGAAGTGTTATGAATAAAATAATATTTATTAGTATGCTATATTATGTAGGTAATATAAAATAAAAGTTATAAATTTCTTAGTTTTGCAAAGAATATAAAAGTACCTCTTTTATTTACTCTAAGGCATATCATTTTTCTTACTTTTTAAACTAAGGAAATTGAAATTGTTTTATTACTTACCCCAATATTAAACATTCCTGTAAAATACTCCATATTTGCTTGAATAAACCAAATGTTGCTTAGACCTAGCTCATCACTTCTCTTCTTAGCACGGATTAATGATAATTCCTTGTTTTCTATTAATGTAACCTAGATTTCACCCAGGAAACAAAGTATATTTAGAAACATAATTCAGACATTAGGGCAAAGTATTATTACTGTATTTCATAGTCTTAATAATCTATACTAATAATAAAGTAATATGCAAATTATCTGTTACATCGTAACATCACAACCAGATCAGCAGGCTGCATCCCCACCCTCTATTCAGGCAGCTGCAAGGCCCGGGGTAGGATAGGATACCATAGGAGGGGATAAGAAAGGAGAGGGAGAGGAAGGCAGGCCTGTATGTAGACAGGCTGAGAGGAGAAACAGAAATACAGAAAGGGAACAAGAAAAAGATGCAGGAATGGAAAAGGGAAGAAAACTGCAGGGCTGCACGTGGGAGGGGGTGGCGACTGCGGGGAAGGGGGGGAGCAGGTGTGCTCAGTGAGGAGTAGGGTGGGAGCCCCGCCCAGACGTGGGAGGACGGTGGCCCTCGGTGCAGGCTGATGGTGGGGAGGTGCCCACAGGTCTGGGACAGAGTGGTGGGTGTTCTGAGACCTTCTGGGTTGAGGCACTCCTGCTTCACAGTAGCAGCAGTGCCCGGGCCACACGGGCTTCGGCACCCTCGCTGGGCCGGGCATCCCGGGCAGGAAATGGGAGCAGGACAGAGGCAAGGAGGCTGGGGAAGGGGGAAGGGGCAGCAAACACCTGGCCAAAGCTGAGCCCTGGGCTGGGGGTTAATGCCCCCCCCCCCTCAAATGGAAGCTTTAAGAAGGGAAGGAGAGAGGAAAGAACTTTATAAAGGAGTCAGTAGAGAGCACAGTTAAAGAAGAAAACGGGCAGGAAATGGGAGCAGGACAGAGGCAGGGAGGCTGGGGAAGGGGGAAGGGGCAGCAAAGACCTGGCCAAAGCTGAGCCCTGGGCTGGGGGTATTACTGTATTTCATAGTCTTAATAATCTATACTAATAATAAAGTAATATGCAAATTATCTGTTACATCGTAACATCACAACCAGATCAGCAGGCTGCATCCCCACCCTCTATTCAGGCAGCTGCAAGGCCCGGGGTAGGATAGGATACCATAGGAGGGGATAAGAAAGGAGAGGGAGAGGAAGGCAGGCCTGTATGTAGACAGGCTGAGAGGAGAAACAGAAATACAGAAAGGGAACAAGAAAAAGATGCAGGAATGGAAAAGGGAAGAAAACTGCAGGGCTGCACGTGGGAGGGGGTGGCGACTGCGGGGAAGGGGGGGAGCAGGTGTGCTCAGTGAGGAGTAGGGTGGGAGCCCCGCCCAGACGTGGGAGGACGGTGGCCCTCGGTGCAGGCTGATGGTGGGGAGGTGCCCACAGGTCTGGGACAGAGTGGTGGGTGGTCTGAGACCTTCTGGGTTGAGGCGCTCCTGCTTCACAGTAGCAGCAGTGCCCGGGCCACACGGGCTTCGGCACCCTCGCTGGGCCGGGCATCCTGGGCAGGAAATGGGAGCAGGACAGAGGCAAGGAGGCTGGGGAAGGGGGAAGGGGCAGCAAACACCTGGCCAAAGCTGAGCCCTGGGAGGGGGGATAATGCCCCCCCCCCCCCAAAAAGTGAATAATTAGGCAGATAGATAGATAGATAAATAGATAGATAGATAGATAGATAGATAGATAGATAGATAGATAGATGTTAAAACAGTGAAAGTAAGTAGAGACGAATGCATGGAAAGGTAGGATGAGAGAGAAAAGGGGAGGCAAGAAAAGTTTTAAAGGGGAGCCAGTAGAGCTTAAAAGGAGAATGGGAAGAAGGAAGAAATGGGGGAGGGAGCAAAGCAGGTCGGAGGGAGGAAGTGAAGAAAAAAATTAAGGTGGAAAGGAAGGAAAAGGGGAGGCAGGGCAGGGGTAATGATAAAGGAAAGAAGGAATGTGGGGAGGGAGGGAGGGTAGGAGAAAGATGGGAAGAACGATGATGGAACAGAAGTAGGAAATAAGGAGAAAAGAACTACCAGGGGGAGGGACCATGGGAGGTTGGCCGCCTGCGCCCCACCCCCATTCGGGCCAATCAGGGGGCCGGCTGGCTGGGAGGAGGGACTGCAGGAAGTTGGCCCCAGCAACAAGCTAACCAATGGCCGATTCTGTGAAGATTTGGGCTCCCTCCTCTCTCCTGTCTGGGTCCAGGGTGTAGGTGAACCAAATTCAGGGCTGTCGGGCCCCAGAAGCAAGGTCTGGGTCAGTGTGCGACCAGCTTGTTGACTGGTTGTAATGGTCACTTAGGCTTTTATATATAGAGATTGATCCTTATCCTGTGCCAGGAAGTATGCCAGATAATATGGTACAAAAGTAAACAAGGTCTTTGAACTCTTGAAGCTTACAGTTGTAATGATATAAGTAAAATAGGCAATTATAATACAGTGATAAGTGTTCAATAAAAGACATAAATTGTGTTATCAGAGCACCTACACCTGATGATTATGGCAGGTTTTATTCAATAAATATGGAAAAGTAGCTCCGCTGTTATGGCTCAGTGGTTGAGCACTGGCACATGAACAGGAGGTCATGGTTCAATTCCCGGTCAGGGCACATGCCTGGGTTTTGAGGCAGCCAATCAATGATTTGCTCTCATCACTGATGTTTCTATCTCTCCATCATCCCTTCCTCTTTCTTAAAATCAATAAAAATATATTTTTTAAAAAATATGGAAAACTAACATCTTTACTGAGGCCTGAACAATTAATAGAAATTAGCCGGGGCAATGAAGTAGTGTTTCAGGCAGACAGAGAAACATGTATGAAGGCCCAAGGTGAGAAATGTACTGTGTTTGAAGAACTGAGAAAACTGGTGTAGCTGGGCACAATGTGTGACGGTGATGGTGGGCATGGGGAGCAGGGTGTGGGGATGGAAATCAGGCTGGAGAGGCAACAGGAGCCAGACCATGAGTGATAACAGAAGTTTCAGCTACTGCAATGAATAGTATGGGTTAGTGGAGCGAGGCAGAAGGCAGCGCCACCATTAGGAGTCTCTCACAGTAATCCAGGCCAAGGAAGATAGGAGAGGAGCATCGGTTTGGATGGAAAAAAGTGGGCAGAATTATCACTTTCATCATGATCATTCCGAGTTCTACCCTAATTCTGTCCTCATGTTTGTCTTTATGGGAATATCCTGGATCCTTTGTATAATAAAACCTGTCAGAGTACCCTGGGTGTCAAACGCTTCCCTCTTCCTGGTCTCTGTTCCCAGGAGAACTGTTAGGGAGGAAAGAAGATGCTATGTACCGGACTCTGTTTCTACAGGAGTCTCACGTATGAGCTTTCTTCCTCTTATTCCAATCATGAAATTGTTGCTTTTTAAAATAATAAAACAGACACCTGCCTGTTTCTCCCAGGAGTCCTTATTTATTTACGCCTTATTTCCTAAGAAAGTAAAAGAATAAGACTAGCCCTCCAATTGCCATCATTCAGATATATGTCATTCACACCAGTCTATGGGCTCTACATTTTTTTTCTTCTGGGAGTGCAGTAATCATTGTAACTATTTTGTCCATTCTAGAGAGCTCACAAGCAAAGAATGTGCCCCAGTTTAATTGTATTTTTTGAAAAATGACATAAAATTCTAGACTTTTATGTTAAAAGATGATCACTGTGAGGAAATTACTTAATATGGCAGAAGACTAAAAATAGCAAACTTCTAATAAATGGTGGCAACAATTGCATAAATAATGGTACATTTTCTTAAACACATATTATGTGGTCACATTTTAGTACTGTTTTGATGAAAACATTTACAACTATTTGCAATAGGGAAAAACTTTTTTGATACAATACTGAGTGAAAACATAACTAAAGTTATATTTGCATTTTTAGATTTTGCAACAATAATTAACCTCAAGGACAAGAACTTACTAAGAACACGAGGAGAAAATCATTTCATGGATGAGGGGAGGTAGATTGGATTTTGTTTTTCTTTAAAATTTTGTTATTGTTGTTATAATTTTGATACAATGCATAAAAATCAAGTTACCAAAAGAATGTGCTCAACAAGTTTCAGATGCTAGTATTTCCAGAATAAAATTTTGTTGACGATTAAACTAGTCTTATCATTATTTTATTTAGCAGTGGAATAGTTATTTATTTTAAAAATTATTTAATATATCACTCTTTTATACAGTTAAGAACTCTTGTGATCCTACTTATTCCTTCAGACTTTGAATCTTAGATGTTTAGCTCAAAGAAAAAAAGAAAATGCCTGTGCCACACATTTGACCCAGGTGAATGACTATAAACTCAAAGAATAGGTGCAAGCCAGGCTCAGCTAACTGAATCATGTCATTTCCGGATGTTTTCTTTTATCTGTTATTCAGACTTTACCTGGCATAATGGCAGCATATGAGCGAGCATAATCCCAAGGTGACCCTAAAAGAGGCAGGAAAAGACAGAAGTTAAAGTTGGTCCCTAAGGTTTCTGCTCATCCTGAGATAACGATCTTGCCAAATAAAAGCATGTCCTTGAATGTAATATAAATTCACATCGTCTTGGAAAGACTAAAAAGATACGTGAAGAGATATCATACCCCACCGCTGCAGAAATCCACAATTCTATCACCAGGTTTGGCCTGATTTGTCACCACATACACAAGGTTGTTTAACTGTTGCTGCTTCCTCAACGCTCGATCACTGGACATTTTACCTGGAAAGACAAGAGGTGAAGAAAATGAAATGTGTATTCTGTGGGGTTGAGAAGACACTAGTAGAATAGACTACTAGCATGCAGGAAGAGGGGTGAATAGATAAATAAACTACAAATTCTGTATAACCCACTAGGAGAAACTAGAGAACTGGAATTCAGAAATGAACTCTATTTTTACTTCAGTCTTTAAAAAATTTTTTTTTATATATTTTTCTCTCTTTATTGATTAAGGTATTACATATGTGTCATTATCCCCCCATTGCCCTCCCATACCCCCCACTCATGCCCTCACCCCCCTGGTGTCTGTGTCCATCAGAATGGTTATCAAATGACAACTGCTGGTGAGGATGCAGAGAAAAAGGAACCTTTGTGCTCTGCTGGTGGGAATGCAGACTGGTGCAGCCACTGTGGAGAACAGTATGGAGTTTCCTCAAAAAACTAGAAATGAAACTCCATTTGACCCAGTGATCCCACTTCTGGGAATATATCCCAAGAAACTAGAAACACCAATCAGAAAGGATATATGCACCCCTATGTTCATAGCTGCACAATTTACAATAGCTAAGATCTGGAAACAGCCTAAGTGCCCATCAGCAGATGAGTGGATTGAAAACCTGTGGTACAACTACACAATGGAATACTATGCTGCTGTAAAAAAGAAGGAATTCTTACTTTAGTCTGATCCAACTTTTTTTTCAATACATAGTGTCAGAAAATCTATGAGAAAAGTGTTTTAAAGAAAGAACACAGAGGAGGAACCAAGATGGTGGCATAGGTATACACTTGTACTTGCTGCCTCACACAACCACATCAAAACTACAACTAAAAGACAAAGCAGATATTATCCAGAACCACAGGAAGGCTGGCTGAGTGGAACTTCTACAACTAGAAGGAAAGAGAAAAGTGCATTGAGATGGGTAGGAGGTATGGAAGTGCGGAGATATAGAGCCATGCGCAGAAACAGGCTGGCAACTAGATACGCTGTTGTCTTTTTCAATTGGGAGGGAGATACAAGCTCCTGATTGCTCTGAACTCCAGTTCCAGGTGAGACTCTGGGGACTCATATGGGGAGAAACTGGACTGTCTGGCAATGAGACAGGAACGTGAGGGTGGCTTTCTCGCAGAGGTGCTTGCAGCGATCATTGTTCCTGCACGGGGCACGGGACACAGAGACCCAGGGAGCTCTCAGAGGCAGGGCGGACTGGCAGCCATTGCTGTTTGCACCACCCCCTGATTCCCTGAGACCCCTCCCCACCCAATTTACAACCCCACCCAAGCTGAGAGCAGAGGCTTTTGCATGTGAATGGCCTGTTCTTTTGCAATCTAAAACCTAACAAACTGCTGCTGGGTCAAAGAGCACCAAAGCTTCCAAAAGATGGACTATGGCTTGACAGAAGCCTGCATTGCTTCACAGTTGGGCCTCATCTGAGCACTTCCAAACCCAAAACGAAGAGGAGGAATCTGAAGATCTCTCCATTGCTCCTGTTGGGTGGCCTCAGGCAGTGGGTGAGTTTGCAACTCCTTGGACATCCAAGAGCCCGTTTACCCAGTGGTCAGTGTGAGAC